TCTTTACCCCAAGTCAACCCTCATCCGTAAATACCCACCCAGGGAAACGTCTTAAAAACCCTGAGTTATCCAGACATGCCTCCATCACCTTTCAACTTTTCTCCGCGTGAAATATGGTCTGAGGTATCTCCTTCCCAAGTGGAGTAGGTGCCCAGGCTACTCAAACTATACCGGAGAACACCACTAGGAGGCGGACCACAACACCTTCCATCGTTTGCTTGTTTTTATAGTGTCAACTGCACTCTCGCAAGCGAAGTCTTGGCGCGCACAAAGCTGAATTCGTAAAACTCCTTGCCAAACCTCGAAATTTCAGACCCTTCTAGGTTATATCCTTCCTTTGCATCATCTTGTAAACTTGTCCTGATCCCTCTCACATCCAACTTCCACAGAACAGTCTCCCAGATTTGTGCGCTACGCTTTGCTCCCTCCGGTGGTTCCATATATAGGCGTGGGCGTGTATTTGGTGGTCAACTGAGACCAGAGAAGGTCGAAGAGATGTGTGGTCATTGAGATGAGGATGTACTTGGTCGTACTTGTAGACTCGATGAGATTTAGGTAGAAGTCAAACTCGTTGGGAGCGAAAAAACGACGTGGAGGAGTAATTTGAATCACTGCCTCGTGGGCCAACTTCTTTGATATTGCAAAATTTGACTGAACTAGGCTCTGGGAGAATATTTCACCCCCAGGTTCGTAGAGGACACCGCGCACAGGTGTTCAGTCTTGACCTCCCTTCCCGCACATGCATGCACGATGTGTTACTAAAACTTCTATGCGAGATCATAGCTGCGTCAAACTTTCTAAAACAATGTGTACATACCTCATCCCCAAGCACTCACGAGCTCAAGCTACTCTAACCGACCGCCCGACAGTCGGAAGCACTAATGGCACTGACCGTGTCTCACAACTAGGTAGCTCCAAACACATTGAATAATTAAAAGGGCAAGACTGATGTGCTTCATAGGAGATCACCTGGTGCACCCCAGCCTCACCCATATGAGCCGGGTGGGGGTCGAATAAAATCCATTGTCCGACTAGTGCCATGATGAAGAATACTACAGCTCGGCGGGTAACGGACAGGATTTCAACTGGACTGAAACGCTGCCCAAACCGGTGCATGCCAGCCGTATACGACACTGAGGATTGTTGAAATCTCAACTGACCTTGGTAGCCTACAAGGCAGCTGCAGGTTAACACATGAGAGTTGACACTGTCTATATGGTCGAGGAGTCACCTGTGCTGGCCATTGCAGTCTCCCGCCGTGAATGGAAAAACAGACGTTCAATGTATGCAGGCCATACCATAAAGTGATAGACACCCTTCCATGAAAGACCGGCTACAACTGGACAATGCCCTGACGATCACCTTATATAAGCAAACCTATAGGGTCAAACTCTATGCGAAAAGCTTATTGCATGCAAAGCTGGGCTCGCAGGTCAGCCCAGACATCCAAGAACGGGTAAACCCGTAGCATGCGCCATCTTCGCGAGACAGTTGATGAGGAATGGGATAGTTGTTCGTGCTAATTGTGATCCCTGCCGCTATCTTCAGTTCTATCCGCAGGGCTTCGAGGCAGAAATAGACCGAAGGTAAGGCACAGCCCAACGTTATTTGGAATGTCTGGAACGGGTCCGAGTGTAGGGGCTGTTTTTGGCTTCCTTTTGTCCCCTCTCAATCGACGTCTCTACAGGACACGTAGGTGTTTTCTGTCTGTAAGACATGGTGATCTGTGCCCATGCACACTTCCGAGCCTGAGTCGATCAATGTGGGCGATAGCGGTAGAACCAAGGCAATAACATGTCCCGAGACCCATATGAGCCGTAGTTTTTGAGCCCAAATTAAGCCGTTGTCCACAAATTTACGATCTTGAATTTCTTGGATACCATGGCGCCCCCGTCCTTCTACAGTGCAAGGAAGAAGTTATCCTGAGACGGGGTTAACGCGGCAATGCACGCCCAGCTGCGACGTAACATTGCGCCCGGCCATGTCGCTAAGGCAAGCATATTATTTTTCTGCCACGTATCCACATCGCCGTCGGGGCGCATGAAGGCTGAACACCTGTCCGTGGCGCAGGCCCTTGTATGAAGGCTCCAGTGAAGGAGACGACGTCTACACGAGATGAGGGAGTTTTGTGTCCGAACGGGATGAAAAAGTGCAAGAAGGGTAGCTGTCGAGCGTGTGGTGGCCGAGGCTGAGGAATTGCTACGTCGACGCGTCAGATGGGGTTGTGTGGACCTGCGTAAAGCACCGTCTCTCGCCAAAGACTCACGAGGTGTTGTTTTAAGATCCCAAGCTAAAGCTCTACGTCCACTGTGGGTAAAGGACCGGTGGAGCTGAAGGGAACCCTGAGTTGTTTCCCACAGCCCACTCATTCCAACCGTGTGAATCGCCGACCAAATTGCAGCAGATTAAACAGAAACCAAAAACAAGAAAATCAAAATAACTCCTGAAAACAGAGTCTCTTGAAAGCGCGTGTTAATTGTACTACTTGGGTCATGGAATATCTAGCACACACAAATCCTCAGCCTATAAGCCAAGGAGACCTATGTAGTAGTATATCCCCTCCTATGCCGCCTACACAGCTTTCCTCACAAGTCCTCATTCAATCGCACACTTGGAGGGATCTTTTACACGTCACTGTCTCCCCTTGTCAGCCGTCCAAATGATGGCCATTTGCGAGTAAATGTCAGCTGGGGAATGTTACAAAAATCACTATATGCGGGGCTCTCCCAACACCTATATCAGATCTGAGTCTAAAGACATAGCTACCCTTCTGAGACGTTTGAAGAGGCCGGCCGCCCAGGTGCTGCAGACTTGTGTGCACCTAGGAACCTCACTTTCTGCCTTTCTAGCTTACTTTCAACTCTTCCCCAAAGGTCGTGTTGAAATGTCACAGAACTCTTGACAGAGCGCGTTTGCTGTGTAGCAGCTTAGCCCAACTTCTTTTGTGCCTTTCAGGATACTGTGGAGTACCGTTGACTGATGGATAGTAGAAGTCCTCCTGGTTAATTATCAAACGCCATAGTCACAGCACCCACATACTCGCCAAAGCCGTAAATACCAGTACCAGCATGCCAATTGACCTTCTTTTTCCTCTCTTGTTTCATGTCGCAGTCGTCTGTTTTCAATCAAGTTTTACAGCCCATTAGAGCAATAGCCCCCCATAAGCCAGACCCGAGCACTGTAAATTGTGACTATTTTCCCCCTTGCGCCGATACATGGTGTCGTAAACTGGTAGTGGGTAATGGCAGGTAATCCATGGCGTAAGACCCCGTTTGCATTTGGAGTAACTCTTAAATCAGTCGTTGAGAAAAGGTGGTGTGCGATGTAGTGGAGATGGAGGACTCGCGTGAGAATGACAAGGCCGAGCTTGATGAAAGTTGTCGATAATGGATATGCTAGTGTTCGCTTTCAACTTCCATCCGCATGCGATTCTTCTTGGCTATACTAGATGTGCAGAGCTTACTGAGCCATTACAACGGCACCGCTACAAGGCGAAGAATTAGTCCTGCCGACTCCACGGGTATCACATGACGTCATTTTCCGTAACAAAAGAGAGGTGCTGAATGTGCTAGAGTATCGCTGACTCAGTAGCACAAAAAATAACAAAACCAACAGGTAAAAAAAATACTAGTCATGTGTCATGGATATATAGCTGACGACACTTTAAATCGGTAAAAACGCCCTCACCATGATTGTAAACTCTAATCATTCCACTCAACCTCACATCGCCAAATTCATCCTCTGGTGTGGAGACCCGGACGCCTCACACCAAGTCTGAATGAGCATTCCAATCACTAGAGGAGAACCGTCACGGCCCAAGCCTTTGTATCTTCCGCCCAAGCACATCGGTGGCGGAAAGACTGCCGCCCATTCTGAGTCTTCCGTTGTACACGTCCGTCGTCATCACGGCACATTCGCCCTAGCCGAGTCTATGATCCGTCAGGATTGGAGGTGCTCAGTTCCGAAGTCGGATTATCGGCTGAGGCTGGTCGGGTACCGGAACACTTTGCCCTGAAAAAGGCCTGAAAAAATGAGCGGCGTAGTAAGCTGCAATAGGCCTGACCCTGTGTGCTCCACGTTCCTACCATCATCACTTCAAGCTATCTCTCGAATCAGCACTGGGTATCTTTCTTCCAATTATCTGCCTGATTTAGGTGGATGAAAATAGGTAGTCTCCAGCCCCGATAAAGCACTTCATACTGTCTGGTTCCCTCAGTCGATTGTAAAGACCCATCGCCCCGCTTTATGTTCCGCATTTCGCAGATGTTTTGTCCCTAATCCTTGAGCCTGGGCCGATCGCTGCATTTACCCCTGCATCTCATAGCCACCGACAACGTTTCCCTCCAACTTAGGCCTCAAATATCAGGCACCAGAAACGCGCCCACGATTGAATAGGCACCAATAACCTCTTCGCGTGATGCAGAGTCGCAAAAAATGGTGTCCGAGATAATCAACTCCAGAATATACTTCAATCCAGGGCTACACATGTATTTTGATAAGTCACCGCCAGTGTTTATTCCTATCTTGCAGTCAAATATGAAGCTTCCTGTATTATCCTTATATCTAGATACTCAAACTGCAAAATTAATTCTTGTGAGAACCTTCATTCTGTCTGCACCTGGAAAAAGGAATTGTCTTTCCATAGTCAAAGAAATAGATTCCACATCTCAAATGTGTGTCAGATATACTACTCTCGCGCCTCAACACAATAAGTTACACTCTCCTACGCTACATAGGGTATAATGATTGGCATCAAGCCTAGAATCACAAAATTCCGAAACTGCTCAGTAGTCCCAATCATCAGATCATATCAAATTCCTAATTCCTATACAATAGGTTGAATTTACGGTACTTTTACTCCATATTCTCCTCGCTATGCTTTATGGTTAAGGCAGCATTAATCCACAACAACATTGTATATTCGAAATTATGTAGGCACATAATTATTAATCTCCATCCTAGCGTTCGGATTTTAGTCGCGTCAAAATTTTGGGTTCATGTCATGAATCCTCGCTGTCTTCGTTAACAACGGCTGGCTTCGTTGTTTCCGCAAGCAGTCTACGTGATCCACGTTGATAAGCAGGCACACCATCTCGGGATGCCCCAAAGTCAAGGACCTAAATCTCTGCTTCAGTCTTGTGTACCAAAGTGTGATAAATTGGGAAATACTAACCTCAACAAATGTCAAATTATCACGCTGGACTGCAGCGACACATCTACGCTCGTCAAACTTAACCTGCCACACACCACTAAGGTCTACGAGGAGATCTTTGATACATTCGCCCGTCTTGATGTTCCATAATTTTAAGGATCTATCAGATCCTGATATAACCTTTTGACCATCATGTTGAAAGCAAGTGATTGCACCAGTATGAGCACTCAAAGTACTCTTACATTGCCCATTTTCCGGATCCCAGATTCGAAGAGTTGAGTCTGCAGCAGCGGATACTAGCCTATCGTCGTGGAGATCTAGCAGGCCAACTAGGGACGAGTGACCTTCTAGCGTAAATAGACAAGCACCAGTTAGTATGGACCATATTCTGATAAAATTATCCATAGAGCCGCTGATACATCGATCACGCTTGTGGTCTAATACAACACTATAGACCTTCATGGTATGACCTGTGAGTCTATGGACTGATTCCCCAGTGGAAATCTTCCACACTCTGACGGTGTTGTCGTAACTGCCGCTCACTAGAGTATCTTGATGAGCTGATATAGCGCGTACTGAGTGAGAGTGTCCAGCTAAGACACGGACAAAATATGGACAGTCAGAATCATTTGCTGGTGGGCCAGTCTGAATATAGCGCTTTGAACCTTGCTCTGGTAATTTCCACACGCGAAGTTGAGAGTCTCTTGACCCTGTAATGATTAGGGGCTTGTCCGGAACCATGATTTGGTGGCCATTTTCATTGTAGCCCGATGGTTCCGGCATCAATATCTGAAGGCATCGTACTGTTGAAGTATGCCCATGAAACACCTGTGTACAGAGTCCTTTTTCTATATCCCAGACTCTAACGGATCGATCAGTAGATCCAGAGACAAGAATGTTTCCTTCGTATTGAAGAGCCCACACCCCCCCTTCATGGCCCTCGAGCTTCTTTCGTAATATCCCCGTTTTCGTGTTGTATACATGAATTAATGTATCATCAGATCCAGTTATAATTTTATCGTCATCGAACTGAAGGCATGTAATAACATGAGCTGGATGTGCAGGAAAAGCGAAATGATGCGGTGTAACCTTGCCGCTCATCCAGCTTTGCTGCAACATATAATGGCGACGGTATAAAGATTTGAATAGATGCAATCTTCGTAAGCTAGGAATACCGATCTGTGGATCTGGTACCGCGAGAATCGCGGCGTTTGCAGCTGTTAGGGGGCCTTCTGACTTGTGGAATTTGATGGTATGCAGATAGTTGGATGTGGATCCGCGTGATATTTCCGTGAAATCATGGGAGATAGCCCGACGCTTAGAGGTTTCCGTTCCGAAAATATCTCGCTTTCTCTTGACGGCAGTCCTAACTTTGCGTACTGAGGAGTTCGAGGATCTACCCTCGAATGTTCCACGGCTATCTACAGATAGATATGTTGGAATACTTAAATCCTGTTCATATCCATCAGATCCGTGAGGGTCCTGCCAGCCCCAGCCTTGGTTGATAGCTTTCTCGAGTTCTCCTGCAGGAAGAATGTATCCGTCTCTATCAAAAATCTCTTTCCAACCAGTCTCATTTGAATCGACGATGTTTCTCCATTGTTTGGAAACTTGGGCAGACCTACAGAGATCCTGGTAGTCCAAATAACTAAGTATGTGGAGGCTTAGTTCCAAGGGAAGTTGCACCAAAAAGTTACACTTCAGAGCTGGGTTGACGACATCGGCAATTACATGCAATGTTTTTCGAGAACAACGGCGAAGTAGCTGAAACATCATGGACGTTTTTATGTCATTTGGCATAGAATCGAATGTATCAATCATTAACTCCATATTACGTAACGAGGGGGCATCTACCCATGAACATGGGTAATTACTTTCGGGTGTAGAAAAGAAATCTAAAGGTTCCGCATCTCCATATGAATCATGAGTAGTAGAAATACTAGCGTCTATAGACGACCTATCGTCGTCTTCGTTAAATCTAGTATCATCTGGGGTGAACGTTGGTGATAATCCTGGGCTGGGTAAACTGGCACTCTGAACAACCTCGGGACCTAGTGCTGTAAGAAAAGTGTGTAGAGGGTTGTTAGAAATGGCGGCGTCAGATAACTCTTGATCGAATTCAGCGATAGGTGGTGTGGCTACGGTACTAGAGACAGTATCCTCTGCCATGACAGATATTGAGCATGGAGCATTGAATAAACTATTGTGGAAAAATTCCGCTGCTGATGAATTTTCGATAGACTGGACTACTCCAGAAGAGTTTGAGGCTGATAGGCGTAAATCAGACACGTCAGGGGTGATTGGGAATAGTTGGTTTTCTCGCAAAAGCGGCTGGATACCACAGTTTCGGCGACGAAGACTTCTGCCTACTTCATGTACGCCTTCATCTACAATATTTTTGTCTATGCGCTTTTTAAGACTGCTCTTCTTTCTGCTAGAAAGTTCTGATGGTATAGAGCAGTGCCATTCGAAATTTTTTGACCCCTTTTTTTCAATTTTTTTACCTCTGTCTCTACTTGTTCTAAAACTACTTTGAAAACTAGTTTCTTTGGAACCACTAGGGTATATATGCCTTTGTAGCCTAGTATCGTGAGCGTCTCTGAAAAAATCGTCGTTTGCTTGTGATCGATCTGACAGTATATTTTCAGGCTGTAAATTCTTGTGTTAGCAAATTAGGATTATTTGGATTTGCTTTTCCCCAAATTTGTATATGTGATTTTCTGCTTACCTTCTGGGGCAATCTCCCTTCCTGGAATGCCGTACAGTTAGTTCCCATTTTAGAGTGATGGAGTATGTGTGGCGGAGGTGATTTGGAAGCTAATGGATACTCTTTCCTGTCAAGTTTATCGAGTTTTGAGTGATTGATGACCCAGGGCGAATATGAACGTTTAGTAGTGGTAGTAGTCGTGATAGTTCGTGTTTCAACGCACTCCGCAAGTTCAATTTGTAGCCGAGAGCTCCGCCGAGATATTGTCTCTCCATTATCAACCCAGGCTGGAAGCTCATCCTGGCTGTTTGGGCCTGAAAAACTGATATCGTTTCCTGCGGATGAAAACTTGACACTCTTAGAGTACAGGCTAGGTGAAGAATCAGTCGAAAATAGTGACGAATATGGGGCAGGACTATGTTGCAAAGACGTTCCCCAGTGATCGATGTGTGAGCGAGGTAGAGGGTGCATTTCAAAGTTTGTTTGTCAGGGCGTTGATGGATTTAAGAATCGTACATTCATTAGGGCTGCAAGGTGTCTAATTGAAAGCTTCTAGTAGTTAAGCCCACCGCGTTAGACTATACAAGCAAAACGATTTTGTCTAGTGATTTTTGATCTTTAGTTTGCTTGTTGTAACTTCATGACCAGACGTTCTCTATTTCAAGTTGAGTACAGTTAAAGTGGGACACAACCTGGAAGCTTAGAGTGACGGAATTTTTTGGTTTCGATTAAAAAATTGGGATCTAAAAGAAAGCTTGATTAGTAACAAGAAGGACTGGCATGATAACAGGGCGGAGCGAGATGATATGTGAATGGAGGACGTGAGGTAATGTTGATATGGGTCGTGACAACATGATCATGCCGAGAAGGCGTAACCGAGTGGGCGTCTTAGGGACTGGGAAACCGGGGTCGCAAAAGGGGTTGGTACCAGCCAAGGCTGCGGCTATTGAGGATGGTGGTGTGATTACTATCTTTCCGAATCCGACCCGCCAATGTGCATCTTGATATAGTCACCTCGGGCCATGCGGTCAAAAGTGCACTATCTCTAAAAATGATGAGCAAAATGGAAAATTTGTCTTCATTAGAAATCTCCACCAGCCATATCAACCACTTTTCAATGACCTTGGACCCATATTCACTAGTTTAAGCTTCCTTCAAAATGTCGCTTGGACATAGCCTCTGTATCAGTAACCACTAACAAGCTAAATAAACCACAGGCGCACCTATTTAAGGAACTCCTCGTTTTGCTCATCCGCATTCTAATGATCTCAAACAAATTCAAATTTTACAGAAGCAACAAGTACTACATGGGTATCATTTAATTCCTCACAACATTAAAAAGAATTTGTCACATTCCTGAAATCAAACTGGTCGTAAAATTTTCGAGTGTCAAGAAGTATGTCTCGAGCTTTTACTTTTTTGAGGACTCAAGATATTAGCTTAACATATCTTGCCGTTCCAAGAGTTTGTCGAGCCCAGTGGCCTCAATAATTTAAGAAATATTTCTAGTGAGAAATAAAGGTCAATGTAGAGAGCAAAATCTGAACACCTCTCAGTGGTGTCTTCGAATATGGAGATTAAATTATTATTCAAACTCGAGATTGCTACGAGAAAAGATGACTACCGTTCAGTTTAATATTTTCTAGAATTAAATGAGATGAACTCAGCATTTTTAGTCAGAAAATTAGTTTGCAAAAATTCCACCACCGCCCAAAAGCCCAAGGAAACATCCTCACTACAAACATGCGACTCATTGACGTACCCAAATCTATCTTGATATTATACCTAGATAACCGGCAAATATCATATAGTATAACAATATGCAGCGAACTTTTCTTCGAAAGCCGGAACTCCAAAATATCATCAGCTGTCTTACCATCTATCTAGATAAATATTGATAAGAAAGATCACGATAGAAATAGTTTATGAAGGCCTCCAGAAATATAATAAAGGTGCACCAAGGAGATATATAGTGACATCTAAAGTCAAGTTCCTTAGGATAACTCAAAGCTACGTTGAGGAGATACTTGACCAGGAGAATTTTAAGATCTAATAAGAGGAAATTTATGGGATTTTAACAGCGTCAGAGGCATAGAACTCTGGTCGCCGAGGCTAAAGAGATTATAGAACTACTGCATAGAAGAGAAGGGCACCCTGGACAGTTTGATATGACATAATTCAGTACATAACTACAGTATAGGGTACTACGATCATGCAGACGTGATGATGACTATTTATCTGCGTGTAGTATTCAAATTTATCCAGTCCGGTCTCATTAGTATTAATCTCCTGGGTAGAAAAAAGCTAGCCAATTGCATATAGTGTACTATCATTTACAACCGGGTCTGAAAATACTAACTATAGTAGACCATTTCCAAACCCCCATATTAAAGTCAAAAACGGTAATGAGCATAACATATAACGAGAAGAAAGTCATGTGCCCATTTTCTTCGTACCTTCCAAATCGAGAAATAAATTTAGCTAAGAGTTGAGAAGCGCATTTTTATTTCTGACAGTAACAATTTCGTTTTAGATAAATGTTCATATCTAACAAATTTTTGAGCCCAGTTCGGTGAAAGAATTATACTACATTCAGGGAATTCAACACACATTAATCTTTATCTCACTTAATTTAAAGCAATTGAGTATTAAGTCTGGTGAAAATAATGCTCCGTCAAAAACGTATTCGCCCAAGTAGTCTTGTTCTACCGTCAATTTCACAAACAGCTATCACACAAAAACATAGCTTAGAGCTAATGAAAACAATAGTTACGGCTACCGTGAGATATCATAAGAATCTTATTACCTTTTACTGATCCTCAGATTTCAGATTAGTCATATACTTTGGGCTCGGTTGGGATTCAGTGTCATTATAAAACCCAGAAATTAATTTCAAATAGTCGTGTCTTTCCTAAAATCACCTACAAACTTCGGTCTTATGATCCTGCTGATCCTGAAATAAGCTATAATGCTTTTGTTGAGGGTGTCAAGGCAAAGTCCCCTTCTTTTGAGCCATCAGAGAACCTCATGATTTGGAAAATCCTTCCACGCTCTCAGGATTCAGCGGTGGATAAAGTTTTAGACTGCCTTGTGAAATTTTCAAGGAAATCAAAAAGATTATGCAGGCTAATAAATAGGGTAGGAAATCGGTGCATTTGACGCATTAAAGCAGGGATACCTTTCAAAACTTCAAGTCTCTCTGCATAGCATCGACGAGAAACCAGTTGATGATTCAAATCTCATTGAATCTTATACCATGATATTCGAGTATGATGACGGCAATCAGCTTAAAGTCTGCTCAAAACTACAAAATAAATCTATTGTTATACAAAGTGCAAAAAAAAGTCTATATGAATTAGTAAATGATGTCGGGTTCCTAATTCATCATATAAATAGACATAGGTCTACTGATGCGGAATTACCTGGTTAGTTACGATCATGTATACAGTAATTCATTTTACTGACGCTCTAGTCTCTAGAACAGTTCAGGATGTTGCTATCATTAATGTATAATGATAAAGCGTCTGAGAATTATCAGCCGCCAATGTTTCGCCCTGGCAATAGCAATTCTATAAAAATCTTAGAATCCGGTCATCCCAACCCTAATCTCCGGATGAAAACTGGGTTTCATAGGTTAAAAGAGCTTTTAATTAGTACTATTGTTGCTGACTGTAGTAGTGTTACAATTGGGGTACATATTCCTGAAAAAGATCAAGTGATACCAATACGCGAACTCCCCGTCCGAAATGCTACCACGAAAGTAGTTGATCAGCCTTCTTCTCATGAAGCAGGCCCTTTGACCAACATATCATCACCAACAACAGCCATAACAAGTACCCAAGTAGAGGTAAGGAAAGAACTCCTAATCGCTAACTTTTACTAATTGAATATTGCAGGGGAACCCTAGGAAACAAAGCTCGAGTACCCAAGATACACTCATACTAGGCTCATCTATTTCCGACAATATTGGAGTTCCGATGATTACGAAAAAAAAAGAAATGCACACTGGTCATTTTGTGTACATACAAACTATACAAGATCGTGTAAAGCTTGCCAGCGTGCACCAGATAAGACCAAAGGGTTCTCAAAACCCATTAAAGTGTGAATGCGTTATTGCAGCGAACGAAGAAGCTTTGGCAAGAAAAACACTGCGTCTATCTTACCATTCTAAGCTAAGTTATCATAGTTTTGTTGTGTTATTTGCCTTAACTTAAAGCATACGCGATGCTATGGGTATCTCGATGAAACCCCACCTCTTGAAACGGTGTGCTACACTTGTCTATTAATAGATAATGATGCAGCACGGATTGAAGAGGTGTTGAAACCACTCAGCATTAAAAGACGTGCTTTATATTTTCTACGGGAGAAAGGGTTGTTAGTGAATTCAGCTGACCTAGCGTCGTACTTAAGTAGATAAAATTAAACCCTAATTTATTGTATGCTAATTAAAGCCCAAAGATATGCCCAAAACTAGGGTTTCTCGGATCCTAGGTGACTTTAAAGTCGATGGCCTTCTAAAGGGTAGCAGAAAAGACAGAAAAAAAGCACCAATGGCAACCTACACCGGTAATGATGAAAAATTACGGATGCTTTACTTCAGACCCCAGCAGGGAATTGAACATCTTGTACGCTGTCAATAAAATAAGATGAGATCTGCGAGCTAATTTTTTTCAGCTTACTTCACCAAAGAAATTGACTCCAGCTACTTTTAAACCTAAGGGCATCGAGAGAGGTTTGGCTGGCCCCGAAAATGAGATCAGAAAGTTGTGTTCTGCAACGCAAGATAAACAAATTAGGCAGAAAGGTTTCCCTAATAATCCTTATGCTACAAACTATCCTGATCATCAATTTAAATCGAGCCTTGAAGTTTTAACTTCGTCGCAGGTAGTGAGGGATTCATTTGATCAAAGTACCAACGAATTAAAATTAACTCCTCAGCCTATATCACAAGCAGGTAGCAGTACACAAGGAACACCAAGTCCTCGGGTAACTAGCGGTAAATCTCAATACCAAGGACTAGAAAATCAAGACCAGAGGACATGCACCGAATCACTTGGAAAGCGTAATTCTATTGAGCCTAAGGCTAATAGCATACAGAATGACTCTAATAAGCGCTTTAAGGTTGGAAATGTCAGTCCCTGGCTTATACGTAATCTTTGAAACTGTGACCATGTTACTATGGGACGTTTTCTAACGATAACGGTATGATAAAATAAACTGGCCAGAATTTCTAAGCTCATCCTTATCAAAATTTGAGAAAAAGAAAAGTTATCTAAGTCACCAAAATCAGATATTTCTATATTTATTTTCGTTGCTTAATAGCCAACTAGCACTACTTGAGGAAAAAATCTGGATTTATATTTGTAGGAAATTTAGTCATAGGCCAGTAAAGTGGTATATAATTACGAACTACACTTCAGGATTCTATAACTCAGGATTAAATTTGGTTCATATATTTGTGATATTTATTCACGGAATTGTTATGATAACCTTTCACGGATCCGTAATTAGAACTTTAATACTAATATTATTTCGTGATGAGGTGAAGGGGTGGTTAATTAAAACTATCAAACTAAGAATAGCTTCCCCTGTACAATTAGTCATGTAAAAAGTCATGTAAGGATATACAGGAGTCATGAAGAGAAGGACAAAGACACAGCCATTAATGCGAAGTTGTTGGCAAGAATGGATTACGATTAATTCCGGCTGGCAAATGCTTCTACTCTTGTGTATAATAGTTCAGCGTGAAAGAGATTTACTCCTCACGCAACGTCTTCTTTACTTACCCTTTACAATACATTTGTTTACCCATCTCTTCTTCGGGAAGACCATATATCCATTGCACAGTTCTTCATTAGCAAGACCCACGTGTAACATCTACTGCAACTAGTTGCCCATTCATCTCTTCCTAGAGAAGACCTGTCATCCCTTTGACCCATTTATTATCTCCATTAACCACCTAGATCTTCACTAGGCTATTTTCATGGATAAACGTGGCGGAAACTAGGATGGTGTCTCATGGGGAGTTCCATTCTAAAACACAACTCGGGGTTAGATCAAGTTCTCAAACAATTAGTACAGGCTCAGGAACATAGGGTCGTTTCATAGAGATCGCGTAGTAATACTGTCCGAGGCAGAGCTTAGGGCTGTCCTATTATCTGATATACATATATACCTAGCGTGAAGGAGTATTCTTCTTCACGCAACGTCTTCTGTTTATACTCATACCTATTGTTCACTTACTTATCTCTTCTCTAAAGAACACCGCCGTTATTGTACCCTTCTCACCTACTACTTATTTTACCTTTACTTCTTACGTGAACCCTATACCTAACGCTGAATTTATACCTCCTACTCTTAGGAATCACCACCATACTCCACACCTGTAACCTACTTGTACCAAACTCGTACCCTACGGAATACTAATAACACGGCTCCTTGAGAGCTATGCAGAGCACCCCGTGGAACACTGTCAAACCCTCATCCTTGAGATAACCTGGTAGAACTAGCTTGTATCCTTTTTTCTTTTCGGTATTGATTGCTAAGTTTATATGAGAGAACTCAAGTTTAGTGTAAGGTTTATCTGCAATTTATCTATTTTGTCTACTCGAACACCTTGTTATTCAAATCAAGACTATCCTTCAGGATTACCTTTGAGGATTTCTCTTAGAAACTTGTGGCAAATTATCTCAAGGCTATATCCAACTACCACGGATAACATTCAATTTAACGTTAAAATGCTAATAAAAGTTATTAGCTTAACTTGCAATATATAAGGAAATGGTTAAACTGTCCTTTGCAGCTATTAATGGTGACATGAATTAAGAAGATGATTGTGATTGAGATAGATATCTATATAGTTTATAATACATGATATGCTCAGGTTCATATACCTCGAGCCAAGCAACCAGATTATGTTCCTCCAGATCTAGATTCATCAGAATAATTACTTACTCAGTAAGATTCTCCTTGTCTCAGTTGTGTGTTTAGGATCTTGATTAGGTTTCTAGTAACTAGTCAATGATGTTTCTCCTGGAGGGCAAGACTGAACACCTGTGCGCGGTATCCTTTACGAACCTGGGAGTGAAATATTCTCCCAGAGCCAAGTTCAGTCAAATTTCGCAATATCAAAGAAGTTGGCCCACGAGGCAGTGATTCAAATTACTCCTCCACGTCGTTTTTTCGCTCCCAACGAGTTTGACTTCTACCTAAATCTCATCGAGTCTACAAGTACGACCAAGTACATCCTCATCTCAATGACCACACATCTCTTCGACCTTCTCTGGTCTCAGTTGACCACCAAATACACGCCCACGCCTATATATGGAACCACCGGAGGGAGCAAAGCGTAGCGCACAAATCTGGGAGACTGTTCTGTGGAAGTTGGATGTGAGAGGGATCAGGACAAGTTTACAAGATGATGCAAAGGAAGGATATAACCTAGAAGGGTCTGAAATATCGAGGTTTGGCAAGGAGTTTTACGAATTCAGCTTTGTGCGCGCCAAGACTTCGCTTGCGAGAGTGCAGTTGACACTATAAAAACAAGCAAACGATGGAAGGTGTTGTGGTCCGCCTCCTGGTGGTGTTCTCCGGTATAGTTTGAGTAGCCTGGGCACCTACTCCACTTGGGAAGGAGATACCTCAGACCATATTTCGCGCGGAGAAAAGTTGAAAGGTGATGGAGGCATGTCTGGATAACTCAGGGTTTTTAAGACGTTCCCCTGGGTGGGTATTCACGGATGAGGGTTGACTTGGGGTAAAGAAAAAGCCACCATAACTTCGCAGTGGTACTTGCAAATGAAATCTGAGGCATGAGTGCTCTTCCTTAACGATGAATCATCTATTCTGTACTTTCTTTGATATTGTGTCATAGCTAGATAGCTGCATACGCAATTAAAATCTGATGCAAAAAAAAAAAAAAAAGTTTCTCCTATCACTGAGACATAGTCATGGTTGATACAACAGGTGCAAACGATGAATCTTGTCTGTACATGACGTTGTTATATAGTCATGATATATTAAAATATACGTGCTCTGATCACTTGTATAACTTGATAAGAGACACTGCACAGCAAATGTAAGGCGTAGATGAATCAGTATTGAATTGATATCCCACAGTAGTGATATGAGTCGGGTCTTATAGAAGTCCCCATCCACCAAACTGTGTTCCAATTATCTACTCTATTCTAAACGTGTCTCATTCCCTCGTATAACTGAGAAGCAGTCCGTCAATGACATGTGTCATCAAAGAATGACTACTCCTTCACTTGACAGATCGTCTCTACGACTCGTCGCTTAAAACACTCGGTGAGTACTAACCGACGCGTCTATTGTCCAGATGTGGGTCCCGTGTCCCGTGACTTAGGGTCGCCCGCATTCTTGGACATAACACCTGTAGCTAAAGGAAGGAGACGGGGAGAAAACAATATACTTCATTAAAAGTCTTGCTTCTAGTAACAATTGTAAGTAGTTGTTATACGACTTATTTTATATTAGATACGAGACTTGAAGCCACACAGACAGTGCACGGCTCGTAACTAAGCGAGTCGTGTAATCCGATACTGGAGGTTCCACGTTCTATCTACTAGGACATGATCTGTTTCTCTAACATGATCGTCTGGACAATATCAACTCATGAATGAATTATGTCTCTACATGACACAATACGTTTCTTGAATATTGGGTTATCTAGTCATCACATGTAAACAACTGTGGTGAAAAGGGTTTCAATTTGCTTGGGCTCATAGATACAATAGTAGGCTGATGGGCGTGAGGAAGCATAGATGTCATTAGCCTTTAGGAAAGTATAATCCAAACTTTCAAGATGATCTTAAAAGCGATAGGAAAATATAACTACGTCGTTATCGTCGCCTAAAATGAAGTTGACAAAACTTTGATGGCTATCGGAGGTGTAACCTACGATTCTCGAGTTAAATTCAAGAACCTGTCAGAAAATGAGGATTATTCTCAACGACTGTCAGTGGTATCCCCTATAAAGCTCCAGCTCTCACGATAGATTCTGCACAGCCAGGATTTATTGTGAGGTTATGGATCGTAGAGGAATTCAGGAATGGTATAGGGAGGCGAAGGATATATGCCGAACAACGAAGCAGTTGAATAGAGCTTAAGGGTGAAGCTTGGTAGGGTGACACGAAGAGGGTATGAATAGACCTTCAGAGATATTCAGTAAATATAATGAACTGAAGATTTCTGAAGGAGAAGAACACTACCCACACGTACAGGAATTAGTCCTACTGAGACGAATTTATAATTAAGCCAGGATATGCGCCCATGTCCCAGTATGGCGACGGTATCATGGTGAAGGTATGTCTTGACCACCAGTAGACCCCAAAGCTAGCTGAGTGTAAGACAGAATCATGCTTATACCATAATTTCCAACATATCTTGTGTTAAGAGTCAAGACTAATTAATATTATAGAAAATATATGTGGCGCAGTATTAAATGATACGCTGCATGTCCTACATAGTCATAGACCGAGACAGGACATTAAAATGAATTTATAATTAAATAATACGAATAACGGTGTCACGGGACTAAGTCCTAGGAATGGCTTAGCAAACTTGGGACTTAGAGACTTCCATTTACATAGTTAGATTTACTCTCCTTATCGCACAACACAATTATTGATCCCGACCCATCCAGATCCTGATATTCCCTTTGTACATTCCGTGACATTTTGTGCGATCTTTAACATACGTGCCTTACCGCGCCCCGCTTCCCTGATTCCCTGATCCAGCTACCTGTAACCAGAAAAAAATTGTATCCTGTAAGAAGGCCCTTCTCGAACGCGACAAGGCACTCCTATATTCTTCAAATCAAATTATCCAGTTTGTATAAAAATGGCCAGCAACCAGGACGCGTCTACTCTGAAGCAACTTTTAGATTCCTTCCGTGAAAGTTGGCCAAATCTTGCCAGCGCCATTGGAGACCACACATTCCTGCCAGACTCAAATCCGACTCCTCTCTTGACCATCATTGCCCCAACTACTCATTCACCTGGAAAGATAATGTTCTGCAGTTTGTTAAAATGTTTTGATCTTAAGTTTGGCGTACTTAACAGACAGATATCTCACCAGTCAGCAACAATATCTGAATTTTAGGCCGATTTTAAAGGCATGAAAGGACATATCAGTGAGCT